CAATGCTACCAAATAACCCCGTCCCCACCAATTCTACACCCTCTTATGCTTCCCAAGTCACTCCAACCTATTCTTCACATCATTCAGACCGATCATCCAATTCTCCAGATACCCCCCAAATCTCCCCAGAACTAGATAATTTTATTACATTACAACAACAACCCTACCACCTTGATACCCCCACCATAAACCAAATTTCATCCACAATAGATTCATCCAACCCTCCTACCCCTACACCCTCTTCAATTTATACCGAATCATTAGCACCATCATCGACATCTACTGAATCTTCACTCAGCACTAATAGAGCTTACCGCACTTTTAAAAGAAAGTTCCCCAACCATCCTTTCCCAGCAAAACCAGGAACAGCCCGTGAATATATAAATCACCCAAATCACACTAATACAAAAGAATTTTTAGCTATCACCTTACCCTCATTTCCACAATACACCTTAAACACCCCTCACGACACTAACGAAACACGTAACTTTGTAAACGAACACGTTTTAATGCCTACCCTTCCTTGGACCTCATATTATCATTTTACTAATCCCCTTTGCTTACCTTTATCTAACACTCACATCGATATAGAACGAAATAAGGACATGCTATATCGACTCACTACACCACTAACACCTAGACAATTTACTTACAACGGATATAAAAAATCACTAAAAACATACACTGCACCCCGAGCTAACGAATATACGCTAGAATATTACGATCATAACATCATCAGAACTAACCAAGATCAATTCTTAGACGACGATCGCTTCGCTAACCCACAAATCACAGAAAAATTTTTCATTAAAACACCATATGTATTTCCACTCAATATCTTTGACCGCAAATTTGACCACATCATTTCAGAAGCACTAACAGACACACAAGCTTACGAAAGTTTTAAAGAACGCTTCCAAATATTTTCACTAACCTTTCATTTCCTTGCACCACATGAAAGAGATTTGCACTGCTCACACGATATTATGTTGCGCACTAAACAAACTCACACATATACATATTATCGTTTTATCCAAAATCACTTCGACCTACACACTCCCTCCAGACAACCACACCACCGTTTTCAATTCATCAATTCCAAATACACCTCACCATTCTTTCTTAACTTCACATATTGCATTAAAGATACTAACCTTTATGGTATTCTTCGAAATTATGATCCCATAACCCAAATGTATATTTTTTGTCCCATCACCAAGACCTTCAACGCAGAAGAATCCCGACCCTTTCTTCTCCCACACGAATTTGTTCAACCTATAGAAATCCCCATTTTAGAATTCATCCACAACACTAAATTCAATCACAAATTATATAATCTAATCCAAAACACACCTTATGAGTTTGCAGTTGGCACTGAAGAACTAACCACCATTAAAGCACTTCAATTGCTTTGGCCACTGCTTCAAACTAAAAATATCATCCGTATCTTAGCTAAATTACTAACAACTTCAGATCTCATCCACGACATCTTCCCCCACGGTTTCTTCCCCGACGACTAACAGGTAAGTATGAACTATACATATTATTAACTAGTCATTAAAATTAGAAACTAACCATTCTTTATTCATGTCTTCTTTAGAATTTTAGCCTTCATCCAACGATCATCTGAAAAATTCACAAAAGAAAATGAAAATTGAAAACTTCTTCAAACTGTTTAAAACTCTATTAATTTTTTGCACCAAATAATTAAATAAAAATAATACCAATGCAGTAATTTAATTTATAAATTTTTTCCCAAATGCAGTAAATCTAATAATGATGAAAATTTGTAACTTAATTTTCCCCAACAACTAGCAGTAAAATTGAATTTCTATGTAGTAAATTAATAAGAAGCAAATGCAGTACTAACCTTTTGATATTTTCATTCACTCGCACAAGAATTCTATCCAAATTCGCACAGCTCGCCCACGAAGAATTGTTTAAATAATGAATTTCAGTTTCAAGCTTTCACACTCAACAACTCTAACACACGATAACAAGTTTCAAACTTTCCTTTAACCCGGTTGGAAAGGAATTATATACTAAACAAAACTAACCAATGCAGCTTACTAAACACCACAACACATAGCATAACAGCATGACTAAGAAAAGGAAACCAACGGTACCCAAACCGGATTAACCCAGTTTAAAACTGGATAATTTATTCTTTTGAAGACTATTATAAAGTCTAAGAAACAAATAATAAAACACAAAAAAGTCGAAAGACAAACCCATACCACAAACAATTTGATTTTTGAAAAAAGGACACAACCAACAAAACATAAGAAAAACCACAACAAACATAACATAAAACGTTGTCACATAACAGGAACTCTCACAAAAACCGCATGCAATCATACTCCCACTCCTGGCCTAACCCACCAGAAGAGGACGTCCTGAGCATGCTCTATAGCCGGCCTAACCCACCGCGCTACATCCACGCTTTGTGACACACACTCCTATTTTTAATAAGAGCTACTCAAGGGTGAGTAACTCTTCAAAATAACTGAACTAAAACAAAAAGCTTTTGTGAAAACAACTAACCAAAATCAAAATTAAAAAACATTAAACTAATAAAAGTTTTATAAAATGTAAATTATATTATGCAATATATAGATCAGCATACAACACCAAAGACGAACATCCAAAGACAAAATGAACCCACTACACTCGAAAAAGAATGGCCAACCACAATCAATATGCCGCCCACAATCACAACTCAAAGGATTTAGAGTACGACTTGACTTCGCAGAAAAGGACTTCATTGAACTAGACCAATGACCACCTCGATGTTCAAGTATACGTACAGATCCGAGTAACCAGGCATCCCCTCCACGCACAATCTCCACGCCATTCCCAGACAAGATCAAAACACAAAGAAGTTCTCATCAATGAAACAGAAAAACCTGACATAGCCAACCATTCTGAAATCAGATTTGAGTTTGTTGCGAAAACCCAGTCGTTGTCATGAGAAGACACAACGATCGAACCTGGAACTTCTCTAACAAGAGAACCCAGAAGAAATATGATGTTCGCCAAACACCAACGTCCATCATCCATCCTTTGAATTACAGAAAGACTATTCTAAAAAACTCTGCAAAACCCGGATGGGTGGAACCTGATCTAAACTACATTTTATGATTGGATAAATTAGATATTTTACCAATGTAAAGTATTTAATATTAACCAATCATGATCCATCTGACTAACAATCCACTTAATTGTAAGTGCTGAAATTACTTGTAATTTCAGCACCAGAGAGATTTGAATTTAACTTAGAAATTAGTTGACTCTCCAAGAAGACTTCAGCAACCGCAATAAACCAGTATACCCTAGATCTATTGAGCCTAGCAGAGACTAGTTAAACAACCTGAGACTAGATAGTATAAGAGTAAGATTAGGATTGGTATTAGACTAAGAAGTTGCACGAATCTATCCGGCTGAAAATAAGATAGCGTGACGAGCAGACGGTGTACCCTATCCGAAATTACTCTATGAGTTATACACTTCGGTCCTAACTCAATGTGCCAGCGATATAAGAAAACATCTAATTTTTCATTCTCTGGCTAAATGGGAATAACAGTTCACAGGCCATGACAATAAAATAGCACTGAAATTGTTTTGTCGCTTTTCGAATCTCTAAAAATAGAAAAATTGAAAAAAAAATATGTCTGTAGGACTACTTTATACGCACTAAACTTCACTCGATTAGGAACCGTATTTTTATTTACCAAAATATCAAGAAAAAGGTTAATGTCGAGGTAGAAAGTCTAGAGAAAAACGAATTTTGTATTGCGCGAAAGAACTATATTTTAAAAGGAGGGGTGGATTTAGGGGGGGGGGGTGGGAGTCTGTACGCTTCCTCTTCAGGGGTTCGACCTCCTGCCGACCCAAAGGGTCCTCTTTGTGCTATTTTGAGATATCCATATTTGATGACGGACACCCCTAAAAATTTTCTAAAGGCGCCTAAGGCGCCAATATATACTAATTTTGAGAGGGGAATGCGCGCCGAAAAAACGCGATTTTTTGGTCGAAGTTTTCCAAAAATTACCGCGTTAAACGCCTCTTTTGGCCTGTTTTTTTTAAATTTTGCCTGCGGCGCAGAAAAATGTACCAGAACAGGGTCTTTCTAGTGCTTTAAGAGAGCTTGGAAATTCAATTTGGTCGACCTAAAAAAAGTCGACGCAATTTTCGAAAGTTTTTTGAAAATCTCTACCCCCCCCCCCCTCCTAGAGAAAACCCTAGATCCGCCCCTGTTTAAAAATTCCATAATTTTCCTAATTTTCAAAGACTATTAAAAGTTTCTACCAATACGGAAAACGTTCCGCGAAATGTTTTTGGTTGTCTCAAGCAACAGCCTAAAGACTGACGTTGACACTTTAAGTAGGTAAACTATTCTGACCAAGTAAGAGCGCCCATAATTTTCAATCGATTATTATGGATTTCCGAGACAAAAAAATCCATTATACTCCCTTACAAATCTAAGTTTCAGACCAGGAAACTGATTATATTGCCATTATTATAAATTAATTTTGAAAAAAAGTTTAATCCATTATATTCTATTTGGCACCATAATCAACTATTTTAGTCAAATTAATCCATTATAATCGGATAACTTTGAAATAAAAATCCATTATAATCTATTAAAACCGATCATATTCCATTTTCTTGTTAGAACAAAACTTTGCAAAACTTGTCATGCATTTTTTAGTTAGCAAACGAAAAAGGTAACAAGAATAGCCGGCTACTGTGCAAAGCTCCAACCATAATCTTAACAAAAATAAAACGTTTTTTTTTTTTCAAATTAGTGTCGTTTTTCTGAGCGGTGTAATGAAAATACATGTACAAAACAGTATAAATTAGGCATATTCAACAGTCATAGTCGAATAGGCTAATTGGAAAACAGTTTTTATAGAAAAAGATTTAAAAAACGAAAAAAAAAATGCTTAGAAAAAGTCCAAAGTAAAGAAGTCTGAAGTAAAAACAATTCAAGTAAGTACCTGTGAAGACGACATCAACAATTGCTTGGAAAGCGACTGCGCCGAAAGTCTTCCTAAGGTTGTCGTTTCCCACCACAATGCGCAGAAAGATGTAGAGGTTGAGGATGACTATGAGAGGGGCGACCAACATCTGGGCCCACAGGTTGTACCGGATGTCATAAGTCTCCCAGTTCTGAAACAAAGATAACATCTCACAGTTTGAAAAAAAATCATCTCCCAAATCTGAAACATCGAAAATGATATCTCGCAGTTCTGATCCCGAACCCAGCGCCGAAGTACCATAATCGATTATATTGTCGTTTTATAGTTCTTATAGGTCAATATAATCTAGTATAATCGATTATAATCAATTATCATTGATTATAGTCGATTATAATTATTTATAATTGGTTTTGTAGAAGTTATTGATGAAATTTACAAAGTTACTTCATTTCTTGTAAGTGCAGTTGCTACGTATTGCATTTTATAAATTTTTACAGTACACATTAGATTTTGTTTCCTTCTATTTTCTGCAGCGGTTATAATGTTTTCAAAATGAACTTTTGCTGTATGGAAAAAATCTGCTAGAATTTGTATAAATTTGATTATATGCTTTTTAGTTTCTCTGTTCGAAAAATAGGTTGTGTTAAAAACTGAATTTAAATAATTTCTTTTAAAAAATTACCAACAAATTTTGCCAAGAAATAATCTCCCTCAAGCTTATAGTGAGCGCTTACGTCAGTTGAGGAGAGTTTTTTACCCTAAAAAAAGTTGAGGATTTTTTTTAAAGCTTTGAAATCGAAGGACTCTCGCTTCCTGCTGTGCAAAAAAAAAATACATTTAGCTAAATTTCTCCAAATGGATTTTCTAGGAGCAACTTTTTAAGTGCAACTTTATCAAAAATAATCGACAAAACATAGGAAAATCAAATAAGTAACATTTTTTAGTCAAATACTGATTTCAATAGTTTCTAATTTATAACTATTAATTGTAACTGAGTTCAATAAAGATTCTGTATTTAATCTGCATGACTCTGTGTAAATTTGTATATCATATTTATATAATCTGTAGAAATCTGTATAAGTTCTGTATATAGTCTGTAAAAACACTCTGTATGATTTTTGAATAAAACTTGAGTATAAATTTTATAAAAAGGTTTATACAATGTCGAAAGTTTGTATATTGTATAAACCAAAAAATGAATTTTAGTAACTACAGATTCGATTAACTCAAGTATAAAATTCAATTGATTAACATCGATTAAACGGTTCATAAACTCCATTATTTGGAATCTAAAAAATTTGTCTGATTTTCAAATGAAAAATTGAGTTGCAATAATAGATTGCAAACTTAGTTTTGCCTATGCGTGATAGATCTTTTCGATTATTTCCGCAAAATGAAGACTGAAAATTTGTTATGAGAAGTTGTTTTTTGCGGCTCCAGATTGTTTGCTTATGTGAATTTTTTTTTGGTGGTACTAGTATTGTGGCGAAATCAGTCAGGCAATGGTAAACACGAAACTACGAGTCAAGTAAGAATCTATCCTCACATAATGTCATCAACATGGCACTGACCTAACCACTATGCTAACCACTAACCTCAGCAAACGAGATGGCAAAATCTTTTGATCACAATAGGTTATCAGTTATGATCATTTCATGGTATCAATTATTATCATAATTTGATGTAAACTAATACAGAATGAAAACATGTAGTCTTTTCGGTTATCAAAATCAGACAAAAATTCGCTCTGTTCCAATTTGTTTCACCTTCAACAACCAATTGTTTAGCAAACGATTTCTAAAAAAAGCAATTTTTTTTCATTTAAAATTTTGTATCAAATCATGTTTACTCCTAATTTATCTAAATAGTATAAATACCTTGCCATGTTCATCGTTCACATCTGCTTCTAAAAATTTAAAGTTCTAAAGGACTTATATAATTTATCATTTTTTATACTTACTTGCTAGAAGTTTTTATGAGCAAATCTTTTTGTAAAAGAAGCCATGGTCAAAGTGAAAATCGTCGAAATCAAAGTAAATTTTGTCAAGATGTTTTAAAAATTTTCTCGATTAAATGCCAAAAACGCCGTTTTTTTCAAAAAAAGTTGAATTTTTTTTGATTAAAAGTTGCGTTTTAACACCGCGCTTCCCGGTCAAACTTAGTTAATTTTTTGATTTATTTGTTTGCCGTTTTTATGAATTGTTCGCCTTTTATGAAAAAAAAATGCCCGGGTGGCGGTGAAAAATGCCGAGATCAAGGTAATTTTTGCCAAGATCCTTAACATTTTTTTTCAACAACAAGCCAAACTTTTCTAAGAAACGCGTAAATTTTTTTTAGAAAACATGCCAAAAGCGCCATTTTTTGAAGTTTGTTCGAAATTTTTTGATCTACAATCTTGCTTTTACAGCGCGCTTTTCCATGAAAATTTTCAATCTTTTTGACCGAACATTTTATTTGAAAACTTTTTTCAGGTCTATTTGACCAAAAAAGGATGTCTCTAACTACCTCGAAAGAAAGGAGTCATATTTAGCGGCTAAAATTTGGGTAATTATGAGTCCATCTTTTTTTATAATGACATGTTAAAAGAATTCAACCCCGATATTTTATATTAGGTTGTTTCTAGGCGCATTTGTCCAGCAAAAGCAGGAGGGAAACTAAAATTTTCTCGAGGAGCGACAAAGCTCGAGGAGCGAGGAGGAGAAAAAAAAACATTGCTATATTTTCCCAAAACACTATGAAGATCCTATTTTACTACAATTGCTTTGCGAAAAAACTATGAAAACGAAGGTATTGCTTTGTGGCAGGAGAAAGGGAAAACTTAGGTCTCTGAAAAGGATTTCGTCTTTTAAGGATTTTGTATTTGTGTGTCAAAAAGTTTAAGATTCGCTACGACACTTGAAGACGAGAGCAACCTCTTTGAGATTTATTCCAAACTTCATTTACGCCTCCTTTTATGACAAAAAAGATATCACTTGAATTTATTGTGTTTTTGCTTGAGATTATGTTGATTAAAATTAAAACCATTTTTTTTTGCGTGAAGTTATTAGCACCAACAAGAAGAAACAGCCGTTGAAAAAGCAGAAAAAACTTTGTGGGAAGAAAAAACTGATGTCATATAAAAATTAAGCGGAAATTACCTGAGAATTTTCTAGAATCTCTTCGCTGACGTCATCGCCGCATGTTCCTCCGAGTGCTCTCCAAGTGATGTATTCGGGCACACTCATGTTGTGATACTGGGCTGCATACTGAGTCGCTTTCGAATTCAACTGAGGCATTTTTTCCTATTTTTGTTCGCTTTTGTTTCTTCTGATAATATGGGTTTGCTTTGGTTAGTTTTCAATTGCTTCTCTAGTTTTTTTTTCAGACAAGCAAAGCTGATCTCGGATTTTTATTTAATCAAATTTGTATTCAACCAATTCGCAGACTGAATGAGACGTTCAGTTTATAATTTTCAACTGACTTTGAAAAAGACTATTTGCTGGTGATGAATTTGAATCCAACTGAAACCTTGGGATTCGAATACAGGATATAATGGGGGAGTTATTTTGCGGCAAAAAATCGAGAAAAATTGAAGAATTGTTATTCGAAGCATTTTTTCATCCAATCAAAATATAGAATTGAATTCCCTAATAAAATTTGAAAAAATGGGCTCGGTTAGAAAGGTTTAGGAGTTAGCGAATATAGAAAAGAAGCTATCCCATTAAATTACTAAATGACTGACTGTAAGCTCATATAGCAAACGTAAGAAAACTCTTGCTATCTTTTTCAATATTGCAAAACTATTAAATTTAATCCGCGCTTGGATAAATTTAATTTGGAAAATCTCAAATAACGAAAACTGAAATAAAAAAGACGATCAAATAAGTATGATTGAAACTGTTTGCGTTAAAAAAACACAGTTTTAACGAGGCTTTCAATTAATACAATGATCCATTGCTAATTATTATGGGTGAAATGGAGCTCTTTAATCATCCGTTTTTGGGTACCTTGTAACAAAACGCCACCCCCTATAATGAAATAACGAATCCCCCCTATTGCAAAAGGGGGAAATAGTTAAAAAGGTTCGGTAGAATTAGTGCAAAAAGAACACTTCCCAAAAAGTAAGCAATCACCAAACTACTTGAATATTTGATAAGAATCAAATTTATCATCAGTTCAGATAAACCGACGCCCTTTTTTGTTGCATCTAAAGGCTTGAAGGGCACAAACATTTTAGCTCTTAAAATGCATTTAGCGTATTCAACTTAACAGTTATTGCAAATCTAAAGAGATTTATGAAACGAAGATTCAAATGTAGAGCTTCTCGAAAGACTCGTAGATCTGCTTCAAAAGAAAAAATGATTTCAGATGTAGCCCAATT